GGACAGCCTCGGTCTCAGGTCTCCTCTTACAGGTTTGACCCATAGAAATGTGTCAGCAGAGTGCCCAGAATATGGAGTCAGAAGGCCTTCTAATTTCATATTCTGTCACTTAGCGGCTCTGTCATTTAGTGGCAGCATAATTTTCAGCAAGTCATTTGCTTTCTGAAGCCTCGATTTCCTCATCTGTAAAATGGGGATATTGATGCCTGTCTTGCTGTGGAATCTTCATGTGAGCATACTTTGAAAACTGCAGGCCAGGCATGGTGGCTCACACCTGTAATGCCAGCACTTTGGGAGGCTGAGGCAGACAGATCACAAGGTCAGGAGTTTGAGGCCAGCCTGGCAGATGTAGTAAAAATGCCTTCTTTACTAATGCAAAAATTAGCGGGGCATGGTGGCAGGCACCTGTAGTCCCAGCTACTTGGGCGGCAGAGGTGGGAGAACAGCTTGGACCCAGAGACGGAGGTTGCAGTGAGCCGACACCACATCTTTGCACTCCAGCCTGGGCACCAGAGTGAGACTCTGTCAAAAAAAAGAAAACTGCAAAGCTCCACTTTTTAACCCCGATGAAAGCCAGAATCAAACTGACTTTTCAAAGGAGAAACCCTTCAGGCTGAATTTTCTTCCACTTCTTCCAAGTCCAACTGTATCTCATATTGAAAGATAATCTCCATGGAGGAGCCCCCATCCGGCCCAAATGTTTCTCATACTCAGTCTTTGGGCGACACCTGCTGGCCATAGCAGGTACTATGTCCTCCTGCGGCTAAATAGCTATGCGGAGGAAGCTTACCCATCTCTTTAGACATTCGCAGCCACGCTGCAGGTCAGTGTTCTAGTCCCACTTCTACAGATCAAAAAGGTGAGACTTGGTCCTCCCAGCTCATGAGAGGTGCAATGAATCTCTCACTCCAGGTTCTTGGCTCCATCTCATCCCTACTTCTTGCTCTTAGGCTGGATGGAGTGGTGAGTCCTCCACCTGGGAGAAGGACAACTCCCCACCCCCCAAATCATCCTGAAGTAGGCACTAGGATTAGGGGCAAGGTCAGGGTTGAAGCCAGGACAGGTCAGGTTGTCCCTGTGTCAACAGCCCCCAACAGGCAGCCCACCACATCCAATTGTTCCCCATCTGCAGAACAACCAGACAGATGGTCGGGGCTTCGGCGCTACAAATTCACTCTGAGGAGGCAGAGAGATGCCATTTGGCCAGGCTGTGTGGTAAGGAGCTGGGCACAGGCTGCCCCCTGAGCCTGTTGCCTCCGTGCCCACTGTGTGGGGCCGTGGCTAGCCTGAAATCCTGTGCGTGCCTTGGGGGCAGTGGCTGCACCTTGCCAAGGAAACGTTCAGTCAGGAGGTGAAACGTATTGTGATTGAGAACGAGAATCTGGCCTCATCCTTGAGAGATGCACACAGACTGATCAATGGATGAAATTACATAACACATGAAATTTGCTTCAGAAAAATTCATGGTGATGGGAGCAGGGGGCACGGATGAATCAAAACTGGCTGCAAGTCAACTGTTGTATCATCTGGGAAATAAGGGCATAGCGATTAGTTATACTATTCTCCCTACTTTTGTATATGTTTGAGATTCTCCATGTTCAAACTTTCTAAAAAATGTAACAGCAGAGACACTACCACCACCAAAGTCAATACAAATAATGATGACTCAAAATTAGACTGCCTTGAGCATCTGATGTGGTATGAATTGGATAAGTTAGTTAATTCCTCTGTGCCTCAGTTTCATTGCCTTTAAAATGGGGATGGTAATAATCATACCAGTCTTATAGCGTTGTTTTCAGATTCTTCTTCTGGAGTAATTAGCACAGTGCTGGCCCCACAGCAAGCTCTGAATTATAATCATTGTTATTAGTAGGAGTCCAGGGCTCTGGTTATAATTTGCCAAAAGTAGAAGCTACTTTAGCTGATGCAGACAAACAATTCATCAGCCCAGCTCAGTGTTCAGACCGAGGAGTCTTTGAGGACACAGCCCTGAACTGCCGAGTGCCGGGCATGTGGGTGTCTCAGATGGGTAGACACACACCAGAGTCAGGCTTTCCTTAGATCCTGTAGGGAGGCCTTCTCCCTGCCTCTCTGCATATCCTTCCCATTGCTCATGCCCAACTCACAACCACTTGGTTTTTGCTGACCACTCCTTTCTCTGAGTTTAAGCAGCTCTCTTCACAGATGCATCGAACCTCTGCCCTAGGTGAGACTGTAAAGGTCATCAAACCCAGCCACATCATCATAGCTTCATTCAACAGTCATCAAAGACCTGCCTTAGGTGGTGAGGATGGAGTGGTGAGCAAGGCGGGCGAGAGACTGAAGACAACAAGGACTGGGAGGGAGGTAAACAGCACTTAGCTGAGTGCAGGCCAGGAGGTCAGGAGCCCTGGACCTAAGCCCTGACTTTGCCATGTGACCTGGGATGCCCTTCACCTGCTGGCCACTGTTTCCTTCTGGATGGGACAAGGCACTTGCAGGAGATGCTCCCCAGGTCCCTTCACACTCTAAACTGCTGACTCTGAGCATGTAGGTCTCCCTGTGTTGCTCTTTAAACATCTTCCTCACTGGAGTGCAAGCTTCCTGAGGGCAGGAACTCTGTGCTAGACTTTTCAGGGATCCGGGAGTTCCTTGCATGGGGCCTGGGTACAGACTTGCCAAAGGAATGAATAAAACAAAATAAACTTCCTCCAGGCCAAGTGGGGGCCAGAAACAGTGAAAGAACAGAGTTTTTAACTGGGAGAGGTGGGAAATGGATCCCCAAAAAACCTCATGCTGTACCACTTGGAGATTGATGATGCCCACCAGCATGTTAAAGCCTGCAGTAAAAAACAAAAGCAAAAGCAACCCCCACAAAAACCTATTTACCTTTGATTATTCCAGTGTTTTCCAAACCTATTTGACCATAAATCAGTTTTTGCACCTTACTTATTACCTTCTCATGAAACACTTGTGAAATGTTATATTAGATCTTTTTGCATTTTCAGTCAGGTTTATTAAAAACAAAGTCAAGTTTGGTAAAGATGCTAGGTTTCAATGTCATCATGGCCTGAAATGGGAACCTCATTGCTGCATTCTTAGCTAAGCTCTGCCGCCCTCACTGGGGCTGGGCTAGGACCTTAGAAGACATTCTGAGCCATCCATTCTGTAAGTGCCATTTGACCCAGGCAACACCTCATTTCCCATCATTCACCAAATGATGAGTGGGATTGTGTTTTCTCTCAAATAATCCACATCAGGATTATAGGCCGAGGAGGCCAGTTCAGTAGAAGTTCATGGGAAAGTGGCCCAACCTGATGGGCATGCCAGTCCAGGAAAGTCGACAAACGCTGCACAACAGTAAGAGAAGGTCAGGTGCCTGGACTGAAGCTGCTAACACCTCATCCGGGTCATGAGTCTATTCTGTTTTGAGAGACATTTCCTTTCTTTTTTGAGATAGACTCTGTCTCCCAGTCTGGAGTATAGTGGTGCAATCACGGCTCACTGCAGCCTTGACCTCCCAGGCTTAGGCGATCCTCCCACCTCAGCCTCCCAAGTAGCTGGGACGACTGGCATGCACCACCACGCCTGGCAGGTGGAATTTCTCCTGCTCAGAGTGGCTGGAGGGCTTACTGGCATTTTGTAGCGACTCCTGGACTTTGAGGAGGGTCTTGGCTCTCCACGTAGTGGCCAGTCACGGTGACAGTAGGTATGCTGCCATGCAGAGCGGCCGTGGAAGGCATTAGGGCAACAGTGGATTGTCTCCCATCCTGAGATCCTCCAGCGCATGCACTGGCAAGTCCAGCCCATGGTGAAATGGCCAGACTTTCTAGGAAGAGGACTTTCAAATATAAGTTCAACTTTCATCATCTAAGTCAAGGTCACCCCCATGGGACTGGGCCTTGACTTTCTCTTTTCTGGGGAGAAAAGTCTCTTCAAGGGAGCTGGCACTTTTAAGTACCTTCTGTGTGAACAGCACTATACAAATAAATACGTGGTTGACATACAGACTCAAGACCTCTGAGGCAACGGGGGGAGCCCTGGTCAGAATCCAGAGAACCTGGTCCCCAGCCGCAGTGTGACCCAAGGGAAGTTCCTGCAATGGATTCAGGTTTTGCAGGGCTGGAAGCTTAGACCATTGAGGAGAACCTCTCTAAGGTAAACAATACACAATTATGATTACAAAATTAGGTACAGATATGATTATTAATTAAGAATGATAAAAAGAAATTGCAACAAGTTGCAAATCTTGAAAAAACTGACAAATGTCATCATGAAATCCGGACAGATAACATAATATTTGTATTAACTAAATGCCTGACACAACTCGAAAATGCTTTCTAAATTAAAAAAAATTTTTTTTACATTACTTCTGCTCACAGCTTTACACAGGCTGGCTTCTGGCTCCATGCATTTCAAACCTTGTCTCTCCTGTGCTACACACATCTCTGGTGCAGGCATCTGAGGCCACAGTTATACTCAGGCACAACTTCTGGCTCTGCAGCTTCATGTTGCAAAGCGTGGTGAGTGGGCCCAGTTGGTGGTAGGAATATTCCTGCAAGCCACTCCCTACCCTGGGAGTACACGCACGGCGCGTGAACCACATCAATACATTCCACCAATCCCAAGCCAGAGTCAGATCCGCCCAAGATGTTCACCAGACTCACTGAGAAGCCAGAGCAGAAAAGGGTAGCAGCTGTGATTGACAGCTGTAGGTCAACTATATTATTCTACAGTTTTTTTTTTTTTTTTTTTTTTTTTTTTTTTGAGACAGAGTCTCACTTGGTCACCCAGGCTGGAATACAGCGGCTCCATCTTGGCTCACTGTAACCTCCACCTCCTGGGTTCAAGTGATTCTTCTGCCACAGTCTCCTAAGTATCTGGGACTGCAGGTGCCCACCACCACACCTGGCTAATTTTTGTATTTTTAGTAGAGACAGGGTTTCCCCATTTTGGCCAGGCTGGTCTCGAACTCCTGACCTCAGGTGATCCGCCCACCTCAGCCTCCCAAAGTGCTGGGATTACAGGCATGAGCCACCGAGCCCAGGAACAAATGTTTCAATATCTGACCATGTTAACACATTACTAGGGCCCTAAAGGACACTGAAGCTTGAGCTGTGTAAGCATCATGGTATAAGCAACCCCAATGTGCCTCTGGGACCCCTCTGACTTTCAGTCTTTTCATCCATATAATGATCAAAACAATTCTAACATATGTAACCAGATATGTTAGAATTTTTTTTGGTGAGAATAGATATTTTTTTTGGTGAGAATCAGAAATGGACGAAGACGTAAAGCTTCTGGAACCTAAAAATGCTGCCTACAGGGTCACGATGATGACCCTGAAGACCACAGTGACGTGGGTTGTGCAGGAACTCCCTAGACTTCTTTGGTTTTAGGGGTCAGCACTCCTACGGGGTCTAATGTTCTGCCAAAAGCTTGCCCTTAGAGACCAGAAACTCTAATATGAGACCTTCCAAGCTTAAGGCTTTGATCCCAGTTAAATGACATCTCTCTGGAAGGCATGGCACGTGAGGCTGTAATCAGGTATGTGCTACCTTGTGAGAATGAGCCCGTCTGGTCATTAAATCAGCATTTACTGAGTGCTCCCCTAGTGCCAGGAGGCACCAGGCAAGGGGTTGTAGGTACAAATTGAAAGGGTCGGAGCCCAGTAACTGGAAGAGGAGAAAAGTCAGACACGTGCATAAATAGCCACAATTCAAGACAAAGGGCTAAGACCCATGAGCCAAGTAGACGTCTGAGGCAGGGGGAGCCCAGAGGAGGCCTGGCCAGGGATAACTGGGGGTGTCTGACCAGGCCCTGCTGAATGGGAAGCCTCAAACAAGTGAAAAAGGGGGCACTGGATACTTGAGAAAGGTGAAGGTTTTCCAGGGTAGAAAACACTTCCATAAATTTGAGAAGCACATTTGTGAGTGACCCGTGAGTCAAAAGAATGCAGGAAGACTTGGGAAGCCAGCAAATTTAGCTCCACTCATTGCACTTTCCTTTTTTTCTTTTCTGTCTCATAGTTTCCATACCTTCCACCCCACCACTCCCCAGAGAGAAATGTGACAATGAGCTTTAGCTCCGTAGAATCCGGACTTCATGGAACCTCTCTGGGTTGGCTTCTCAATCAATTTCAGAGCTGTGAGCTGAAAAAAAATAGCAAGAGAGAGGCCAGAGTTATTCAGGAGACTTCTGCTTTGCTGGGGGCTTCCACAGCCCTGACCAACCGTCCTGGGGTCACTGCTGAGACAGCAGCGTGAACAAGGGCAAAGAGACCCCAGAGACTGCATCTGAACGGTCGGAACCCCAGGGCTTTAAACCCTTTGCTCCAATGAGCTTAGAGCCATAATATGATAATCCAAAATGATGAGAGAGTAAGTGGCAAGTATACCTAGACATATTCTGAGCCCAGCAGACAGAATTTTGGTTTAAGGAGCACCTGGGTAGTTTAATGACACATGCTATTTTTTCTATATAGGCATCATAGTCTATGAATTGTAACAATTCATCCTATCTCAAGAAGATGGAGGTATTTTAGATATATGTGTATATATTTGAAATCAAAACTGTTTATTTTGTATAAGTTTTTTTGTGTCTATTAGTTTCTGAATATCTGTGTATAAAAACTTCTGTTTCTTTGCCTGTATACATTCTTGGATATGCACATATACACCTATGTGGGATGGGTTAGGGTCATGTGCGTATTTGTTTGCATTTATCTTGCTTTGGTCTTAGGAAGGGATCTTGGTGATCATCCTAGCTCAACTCTTTCACCTCACTGGTGAAGAAACTGAAGTCCAGAAAGGCAAGGTGACTTGTCACAGGTCACACAGCCGGCTATGGAGACAGAAATGAACCAAGAACCTAGGATTTCAATTTGTAGATGAGGACCCTTTCTGTAATATTAAAATCAATTGTAAACCTGGGGGAAGGAAGGAGGGAGATCCTTTTTTTTTCCTCCCCCAATCGATACATAAGTACTAAGAAGCTCAATCTTGAATTAGCTGTAGAATATCAAAAGTTAAGTTTTTCACACCGACCTGGTTCAGTATTGATTCCTTTTATGAAAACTCTATTTATACTCAAGTTGTCAAAGAATTCCAGAGGGCATATGAAGCTTTTGTTAAAATAATTATAAGCCTTTGTTTTTGAAGAAAAGTATCCAAAATATATAAGCTTATTGTTTGAGTTAAACAATAAAAACATCTGTTGTTTCTCATGAAGCCTCTAGTCTTAATATAACATGGCAAAATAATACCCCTAAATATCCATGATTAACCTGAATTGGAGAGGGCCCACCTCCCAGTGACTTCGCAGAGCTGCTTCAACTGGCATTGGTTAAAAAACAAAAACAAAAACAAAAACAAAAGCACAAAAGCAAAAATAGAGACAGATCATCACCCAGCATTCTAAATGCAAGAAAATATTGAAACTAATCACTGGTTTTAAATGGACAGGGTGTCCCTACTAGAAATGAATCCCACAGATTTGAGGCTTAAAAAAAATGGAGCATATGCATAGGTGCCGATGCAGAGTTTCTGCATTGTGTTCAGATCGCATTTAAGCACAGCTGTGCCTGTCATTAAGAGTTTATGTTTACCTGCACACATGAATGTTTGCCTGGGCAAATGCGTTTGTTCTCACTCTGGCGTGCATATATTTTTGTGTGTGTGTGAAGATTTCCATCTAATTTTGGGAACAGTTCCTTCTATAAAAATAAAACATATCCCCTCCAAAATGTCAGCTGGAGAGGGGGCTGTCAGGGTTTAAAGTAGCCATGGGGTGGAACATGACTCTCTTCCCTAGAGTTTCATTTTTCCCTTGGGATTTCCTGGCGTGCCGGCTCACCCACCCCTAATACAACTCCTATTGAAGAGAAGACTTCTGAATACATCTGAACCAACCTGTCATTTTCAAAGATATTTTCCTAGCTACTAAGGAGGAACAAAATCAATGGGAAACACAAAAAGCATACAGGCTGACCTGCCTGTTTTTCTGGTCCTTCTTTTGTTAACCATCTCTCCAGGCTCTCCCAGCCTCAACGTGTACCTTCCGTGTTTCTGCAGCCTCTTGCCTGGATTCCTAACTCCTTGGCTCTGGCCTTGTCACATCATGGAAGGCACAATATCATCCCAACTTTCCCCAGTGGAGCTGTCCCCTCCTCCCAGCTCCCACAGGTCAAGGTCCTTGTGAGCAAAGCCCCTCCCATTCATGATAGTCCCCTGCGCTCACTAGGTGCCAGCCATGGGGCTTGTCTTATTTAATCCTCACTACGACTTTCCCAGGAAGAGATTGGGAATGTCTCCATTCCACCGATAAGGAAACTGCAGCTTGACACACATAAATTTCCCAAGGCACACAGCTAGTAAGCGGCAGAGCTGGGCTGAGAACTCATCTCTTGCGGTTTCCAAAACCAGGCTCCTAATCATGACATTAGAAAGCTTCCTTTTGCCAGATAGGGGCCCCAGGTGCGGTCTCCCCACCTGACCATCTCTCTATTTCCACGTAGATGTCTTCTCTGGGGACAGCCAGGCTGCAGTCACCAGCACAATGAATGACCTGGCCCATCAGATGACACATAGGCTGTGGTTCTTTAAAGGCCCCCGAGTGTAACTAGCATAAAAACTCCTACACTCAGGTTGCAGGGGGTACTTGGGGTAGATGCAAAAAGGAGGGTCCTCCTCAACTTCCAGCACGTGGGGCACGGAGCAGCTGTGCTGATACCCCCAGGCCCACTCAGATCTCCTCCCAGCAGACAGCAGCCCCTTTCATCCTGTCTGCCCCAGCGGTATATTTTAGGCCTGGCCTGACCAGGTGCTCTGGGTCAATAGGCTTAGTTTTAAATAACTGGATTCCTCTCAATGATCGTCCCCTTTAGAAGGGAAGGGGCATGGTAGAAGAATGAGCCAGGAGCCTGGAGGCAGTGAGAGATGGGAGCTAAGACAGAAGACTGGAAGCGTTTGGGCTCTGTTGCTCCTTGCGTGACCTGGGGCAGGCTTATGGCTTCCCCACTCTGGGCCTCAGTTTCCTCATCTGTAAAGCAAAAGATTGGTCTGCATCATCTCAAACACCCCTTGCAGTCTGTCCCCCCATCTCTATTCTATGCCTGTGTTTCCAGTTGACAAAACCCCTCCTGCAAATTGTTTCAGGGTGGTGATTTCACATGACGGAGCTGAGCTGCCGAGGGAAGCAGCAGCCTGCAGAGCAAGCTCTGCTCTGGAGTCAGGAGACCTGGGTTCTAGTCTTGCTTCTGATACAAACTTGGTGGCCTTGAACAAGCTAAGCCCCAATTTTCTCACCTGTTTAAAGGATGAAACTTGAAAACATTATGCTGAGTGAAATAAGCCAAGCATAAAAGGAAAGGATACATACTTTGTGGTTCCACTTATGAGGTACCTAGAATAAGCAACTTCATAGAGGTGGAAAGTGGCATGGTGGTTGCCAGGAGCTGGGGTGGTTTCCAGGAAGGAGGAGTTATTATTTAATGGGTGCAGGGTTCTGTTTGGGATGAGGAACAATTTTGGAAATGGTGCGTGGTGATGGTTGCACATCGTGAATGTATTTAATGCCACAGATAATACACTTCAAGTGGTTTAAATGGTAAATTTTATGTTGTGTATATTTTGACATATAAAAACACACGCTTTTCAAAATTTAGTTAAAATTTCTAGGGATATTTTGACAAAACCTGGGAGTGAGGAGTCCCAATTCTCCTGCGTGAACTTAGGCCACACATTTCGGAGAAGCAACTTTTCTTCCTCTGGCAAATGCAGCTAGCTGGTGGCCCCCTTCTCTCCCTCCAGCCCTCACACGCTACACCTTAGAATGTGTCCAGGTACAGCCGACTTGCCAGGGCATATTCGAAGCAGCCTCCCTGACTCTACAAAGGGAGGTCCAGTCCTGACTCATGGGCCATTCTCGGAGGTACCTGGATCCCTTCATGGGTTCTGTGACCCCTTATTTTGAAATTAAGACAAAAGGAGGGCTTGCCAACTGTATGGACCTTTTACTGCAGACCTGGCTCAGCCATGCCTGGCCCCCAGTGCCTGAGCCCGTGGCTGACATAGCAGATGTTCAATATTCATTTGGTCACTGAGAAGATGTGGTCACACCAGTCCTATTTTATGTCAACTTCATAAAGATGAGTATAAGGAATAAGCCAATTTCTGCCAGGCAAGAAAACGATAGGGGTGGGAAGGTGAAGATAATGGAGGAAGATACACAGGTAGACATTAAACGGTTCATTGCAAATAATTGTTTAAATAGTCACAATGTGCCAAGCGCTGAGGAAAAATCGAAGAGTGCCAGGGGGTGGCTGGAGTCAGCTGTGGCTCTCCGGAGGGCAGGCTTGCGGAAGTCAGGAGGGGTTGGAAGGGCAGCTACGAACTTTAGAGTGGGGAGTAGCACCAGATAGCACTGGAGAGCCTGCGATTCTACCCAGAGCGTCCGTGCTGCTCCCAGGGGGGTAAGCTGAGTCCAAAAGAGGCAGGAAGCTTGTGTCCCAGGTGACTGGGCCGGTAGAAATCGGGCGTCCTTGGCCGAAGCATGGCAGGCTCTTGGCACATGAATGATACATGCCTGTGTGCGACCACAGGCTCCAAGCCGGTGGGTGACAGGGACCCCTTGCCTCTCAGACAGCGGAGCCTGGTCGGTGCCGTCTGGCCCGGGCCCCCGCCCCTGTCCCTGGGTTCGTGGGGTTGGGGTCCGTCTGGGCTCAGGGCTCACGCGGCCCTCACCACCCGGGGTGCTGCGGGGGGGCGGGGAGAGCGGCCGCCTAGCCCAGCCCCGCGGATGACAGGAGCCGGGGAGCCGAGGAGGGAGGAGCCGCCGCCGCAGCCGAGCGCTGGGCTGAGGAGCAGAGAGAGCGGGGCGCGGAGTGCGGGCGGCTGGGAGCGCGCTGAGCGGGGGAGAGGCGCTGCCGCACGGCCGGCCACAGGACCACCTCCCCGGAGAATAGGGCCTCTTTATGGCATGTGGCTGGTAACTTTCCTCCTGCTCCTGGACTCTTTACACAAAGGTGAGACCTGCGCGGGCGGCGGAGCGGCGGAGGCGGCGGGGCCAGGGTGGCGCGGCTGGCGGCGAGGCGGGGTGCCCGGCGGGATCCAGGTGCCTGGGGGGACCGACCTGGGTTCACGGCCCCGAGTGGGGCTTAGCTGGGCGGGGCAGGCACCTTGACAAGGGCCGAGTGAGAGTCAGCCCCCGACCGCTCCGCCAGCCACCCGTGTCTGTCGTTTTGGGGCGCGCCCGTAGGGGTGGTGGCGAAGGAGCCCCTCATCTCCCTGCTCCCCGCCGGCCGCAGTTCTGCCCTGGACCCCTCCCCCAGCCTCTTGCCCGCTTCCTGCGGCTTGGTGGCGCTGGGACCCCGGAGTGCCCTCCGAGTCGAGAGGTCCTCAGGCCGTGACTCTTGACCTGGGAGTCCTCGCGTGTTCGGGCCTCGGACTCGGCGGCTGACTCCTCTACTGTGTCCGTGCGCCCCTCGTCCGCTGCTGACCCCAGCCCTGGCACGAATGTTGGCGCACCGCATGGCGCTTATCCGAGCATTAGCTGGAGGCAGGGTGGGGACAGTGGGGGTCCCGAGAGCTGGAGGTCCCTCAGATAGCAAGTTTGTTCTCCAAACCCAGAGGTCACCCTTGCACCAACCCCACCCCACCCCTCTGCCCGGGCGCTAGCCCCGGCTACCGCTTCGGCTTCGCTGCGCCACCGCGGCCACCTCGGGCAGCGCGCCCCAAGGTGCGATATTCTCAGCTTCCGCTCCTGGCCCGTTGGACCTGGGGACAAGACTTCAGGCTGGGGGGCGTGTCCCTCTTCCCGGAGAGAGGGGGTTGCTAAGGGTGGATCCAGGTGTCCGGCGTGTCCAGACCTGCGGCTGGGGCGCTGCGTACCTGATCTGCGAGGTAGCCGGGACTGGGAGGTTGGAAGAGGACAGACATTTCCGACCGAAGCCACCTGGGCACCGAGTCAGGATCAGGCAGTTGCAGGTAGTCGGGCTTCCAGGCTATCTCAGAGGACGTGCCCCCGGGCTAGCAGATGGCGGGAGATGAGACGGCCGAACTCCGCGACCTTGCGCGGTGGAGCACACACGCTCCAACAAGCTCAGCGTTACCTGTTCAGCCCTCTAACTTTTCTCCTTCGCGCCCCGGGGCGGCTTCTCTCTCCCTTTGCCCCGCTGTTGGCCTGGCCAGGTGGCAACTCTTGACCCCCAGGCGATGAGGAAGGACG